TGTCTTTTGCATTAAAAGTTTGTGATTGTAGTATAATCTACACAGTGGAAAGTGCATTGATGGTTCTTGAAGGTACACCTGGGCAGTGTTTAGCATCTTTCGTTGCTATGCAAGCACTGTGCAGAGCCCATTACCTACAGAGCTTTTCATCCGCACATTAACCAAGTCCCTGCATTCTGCTCCCTGGAAACCACCTCTGTACTTTTGTCTCTGTGTACTTGGCCACTCCAGATACCTTTTGTCAGTGGATGGATGCATACTGGGCTTATACTTTTTGTGGCTAGCCCTTTTATAGCTAGCATGAAACATCACACACCCACAGAGACACACACACACAGATGACGTTGGCAAAGTGGGGCACCAGGAAGAGGAGCCCCAAGGACACCTTGAGCTTTATCCCTGCATAAACATTCTTTGCATGTATGAACTACATTCTGTTTATTCTCTCCTCTCTTTCTCTCTTTGTCTCTCTGTGTCTCTGTCTGTCTCTGTCTCTTATTTTTGAGACAGGGTTTCTGTAGCTTTGGAGCCTGTCCTGGAACTCTATAGACCAGGCTGGCCTCGAACTCACAGAGATCCGCCTGTCTCTGCCTCTGGAGTGCTGAGATTAAAGATGTGCGCCACCACCTGCTCGGCCTGTTTATCCTCTTGTCCATCACTGGAAGCTGTCCTGCCCCTACTTCCTGGCTGCTCCTATTAATGAATACTCCTGTGAGTATGAATGCAGAGACCCCTTCGGGACACTTCTGCATTCCTTTGAGGATATGCTACATGCATTGCCCCTTATATTTCCGAGTGGCCACCATGCTGTCATGGTGTCTCTTCCCAGCAATAGAAACCCTAACTAAGACAAGGACCTACCATAGCCTTGACCTTGACCTTGATGAGGAGCTGCAAGGGCAGACAGCATGCACAGGGCAAGGTGCACATGTTGTGTGTTCAGAACCAAGGTTGCAATGAAGCCATGTGATGGAACACACACGAGTCTACTAGAAACATGCCTGATTCTTCACATGTTTAAGCTGAGGTTTGGGTCACTGATTATTACTGCCACATTTTTCATGACCCCCATATTTTATTAAACAGCGTTATGTGGAGTCATGACACACAGTTTAAGAAGCCGAGAACTACACATCCCCATGGCTTCAAAGCCCACCCCGAAGTTGATCGGCCCTCCAGCCGCTGCCGTAAGCTCCAGTCCCAGTGTGTTAGGTCGGGGGCGGAGATGATGGAACTGAGAAAAAGATGAATAAGGAAAGTATCAGGAAGACTAATGGCTCTTGACCATGCCCTTGTGGAGCCCCCTATTTAAAGGGGGACACAGGGATGCCAGAAAAGTATGAGTGAGGGTAAGGGCTAAAGCCAGAGGGCCGTTTAGTGAGAACCGTCACCACCTGCTTCCAGCTGGGGGTGCTTTAACAGCACCAGCTGCTCTGTACTGAAGGCCAGAGAGACGTCCAGAGGATATCTGTGGGCAAGAAACTGCATCTGTGCCATCCTTGAAAGACAATGATCAGAATAACAAAGGAGAGACTGTTCTGAAAAAAGGAAGAGCGTCCGAAATCACAAGAGCTCAAATGCACAGAGGAGCCAAGAGCTGCAGAGAAAACCATCCCAGGTCCCCTGCATGGGCACCACCTCAGCTAGGCGGAGCTGGTGAACAGAGTTGGCAACCCCAGTCAAAGGACCCACCCTGCAGTTCTCACAGCTTTCAGTCCACTGGGGGATTTGTCTTGAGGGTGACACTCACGACAGGAAATCCCTTTGGTCACACTCCCTACCTCTGAGAGCAAAGCCGGGGCCATGTTGAAGGGGAGTCTTTTGTTGAAGACTGCATGTGTGAAAATAGGGAACAGTCACAAGTCATCGTCCCTGGGGATACCTGTGTCTGAGTGACCAGTGGCTGTGTGAAACAGTTGTGGATGGGGGAGAGCCCGACGTGGGCTGAGAAGCCCAGTGGCAGGTGACTGCCTGCTGGGACAGACTGGTGGTTCTGTAGTGAGAAGCCGCAGTACCTGAAGACAGTGATGGAGACAGACAGATGTAATCCGTGGTCAGTAGGTAACTCAGCCTCTAAGTCGCCTCTCTTCTGGGTTTGCTGTAGGACTCAGAAGGCCAAAGCACTGGTCCACAGGCACACCTGATTGCTGCATCCTCCTCCCTCCTGTGAGATGTTTAGCGTGGATCCTGCTCAACAGGTGCTGAGCCTGGACCACAAGGGCAGGGCTGGCTGCTGTGTTCTTCTTCCACTCTCCATCAGACTCCAGGACCCTTCCTGGATTGTCTCTTAGCCGCCTCAGTGGGATACAAACTGGGGACTCTGGAGCAAGATGGAGTTTGCAGAATCCACAAAACTCAGCTTGTCCAGGAACACTTTCTGATACGTGTCGATGCAAACATATCACTGGTGTCGGAGGTTTTTCTGTGCATGTGTTGCTTTCATTGGTTAAATGAATAAAGAAACTGCTTTGGGCCTGATAAGGCAGAACTTAGGTAGGCAGAGAAGACAGAAATGAATCCTGGGAAGAAGGGCAGAATGGGAGACGCCATGATCTTCTGCCTGAGACAGACGCTGGTTAGAAACCATGTGGTGATACACAGATTAATAGAAATGGGCTAAATTAAGATGTAAGAATTAGTCAATAAGAGGCTAAAAATAATGGGCCAAGCAGTAAGTTAATTAATACAATTTTTGTGTGGTTTTAGGTGTAAGCTAGTTGGGAGGCCGGGACAAACAAGGGGCCTCTCCTTGCAACATCTAACTCTCACCTCAAATGGAAGAAAAGTCAATTCCTTTTGGAGCCAAATATAAGTTGCCACAGCCCAGGAACACAGATTGGTTCGAATTCATCATAGAAACAGTTTTATGAAGTTTTCATAGTCACAGAACAATAAAAAAAGTCACAAGTCATAGCACTTTTCAAATATGTTGGTGAGAGAGTACCAGGTAGATGGGTTAAAACACAGCCTTGGAATTCTCAACTATCAGCCTTATATGCTACCTGACAATAGCTTGGCCTTTTGCTTGGGGGGCATTAGCAGGCAGCTAAGTGAAAATATTCTAACCCTCCACAGTGGCTAAAGTGCTACCAGTCAACTAACTGTGCAGGAAGGAGTCTCAGTGTAAGGTGTCTTTCTCTCCAGGAACTCCTCTTCATGTATGCCTGGAAGGGAAGCACCTAACCTGAAGCGACAGGCAGACCCTTGGCAAGGGGCTTTGGTGAGAGCTAGGCTCAGCACCACCCTGAACAGCAGAAAAGACATGAGACCCCAACCTGAGCTAGCTATCCCCTTCTCCCCACAGACACCAGTATCAAAGGACTCAAAAGGAAGATGCTCTAGTGCTCCGTTACTTTTTTAAAAATTATGCCTTTTCCTCAGTTTTTCTCTTTTCTGAGTAGACATTTAGTATCTTTTCATTTTTAGCATTTGATGCTAATTTAACTCCTTGTGTTGACCTATTTTTGTGAATTTAAGGTAAGCCTAATCTACTAAACAAGTTTCAGGACAGTTAGGATTGAAAACCCTGTCTCGAAAAGTCAAAAAAAAAAAAAAAAAAAAGGAAAGGAAAGGAAAGAAAGCAAGCAGGACTCCAACCCCCCAACTGGAAAGTATTTATTCCAATTGATGCACAAATCACAACACAGAACATAACAAGCACGTAAATTAATGCAATAAACTCTGCCAAAAGAGCATAGCTTCTTAGTAACTGTGTCTAAAGATACTGAGATGATTTAAAAATGTGAACAGGATTCTAATGTCTGATTATAAGAGACTGGAAAGGTGGCTCAGACCTGCCTATAATTCTAACTTCAGGGGATCTGATGCCCTCCAGAAACACTACTCTCACTTGTACATACTCACACGCAGGCGCACACACACACACACACACACACACACATTTTTTTTTAAAAAAAATTAAGCTTTTTTAAAAGTCTAATTATAAAACAATCAATGATTTCAAAGAAGATACAAACAAAATGAGAATGACGTAAACTTGTCAGTTCAGGTCTTGGATAAGAAAGTCAACAATAAAAACAAAACACTAAAAAAAACACTTGAAACATGTTTGAAATTTTTAAAAATTCAGTAAATCAAATTTAAAATGAATTGAAAATCATCATCATATGAGATCAAATTTAAAGAAAAGCTTCTCAAGGATTGAAGACACAGTCAAGAACATACTATAATCAAGTATCAGTAAGGAAAAAAATGCAGTCATGAATTCAAGAACTCCGAGACATGATCAAATGTACAACTCCATAAGGATTGAAGGAGTCGTAAACTGAAAGCATAGAATATTTATTTCATAAAAGTTTACATTGAAGTCTAGGGAGACAGATGGACATCCAAGCAAAAGATGCATTTAGAACCCCAAATACACATGACTGAAAAGGAAGTTCATCCCCCCCACCACACACACAATGTGGATAAGATGCTGATCCTAAAAAGGAAAGAAACAATATCACAATCTGCTAGAGAAGATTGAAAGGGCAAGTTCATCAGAATATCTAACCTCTTGGCAGAAACCTATGGCATGATATATTCCAAGCCCTAAAAGTAAACAACTGTCAACAAAAATCATTATATGCAGAAAGGCGAGCTTTAAAAACTGATGAGGTAATAAGATCTCCCAAGCTTATCATAAAGTGAAGCAATTTGTGACCACTGAGCCAACTTTTCAGAAGACAGTTGGAGGATTCCTACACCCAGAGGAAAAAGAAAGAATTGTGAACACAAGAGCTCACCAAGGGGTAAGCTCTGTGGGAGGAAGAGATAAGCAAATGAGAACTAGGAAAGAATCAACCATTCAGCAAACTGGCAAGGACCTAAAGGAGTAGTGGAGAGGAAAAAAAGAAGAAACAATATTTGAAACAACTAAGAAAACTGTCGATAAAATTATAGAAATAAGAAAAATCCCTCTTAATAATAATCCTAATATAAATGTCTTAACTCTTCAATCAAAGGACGCAGACTAGCTGAGTGCACTAAAACCAAGATCCAACCGTTTGCTGTCTGCAAGAAACGTACCTGACTGTCAGAGACAAAGACAGAATAGAAAACTATATACCAAGTGAGTAGAAGCCAAAACCAAGCAGGAGTGGGTATATTCATATTTCCCATAGTTTATTTTAAATTAAAATTAGACATATGAAGAGGGTTGCTCCATCTTAACAAAGGGAACAGTCCATCAAGAAAATATAAACAGGGGTATACTTAATTCCATAAACACTACTAACTATAAAATAAGAGGTCCATATGTAATAACAGTGGGTGGTTTCAATTGCCCACACTTATCAGGTGATAAGTCTTCCAAACAAAAGATCTTAACAAAGAAACTTCAGAGTTGCTCTGTTCTGTAGGTCAAGTCGCCTTCACAGATTTCTCTGGAAAACTCCATGTAATACACATTCCCCTCAGTATTCCATGGAATTTCCCTTCATATAGATCACGTTTTTATGCCATAAAACAAGTTGATAAGAAAAAAATCTGATCATAAAGGAATATAAAGAAAATCAGGGGCCAGGAGAGATGGCTCAGTGGTTAAGAACACTGGCTGGTCTTCCAGAGGTCCTGAGTTCAATTACCCGCACCCACATGGTGTTCACAACCACCAATAATAGGATCTGATTCCCTCTTCTGGCCTGCAGGCATACATACAGAGCACTCATACAGAAAATATAAATAAAAAAATTAATAAAGAAAATCGTTATAAAAACTACAGGAACTATTTAAAGACATGAAGCATGAACAATGCCTTCTTGGTGTGGCTCGTTGAAGGAATCAGAAAGTTAAACAGCTCCTAGAATCAAATGAAACAAGACAATGTGAATGGAAAATTTTCAGTGCAGTAAAGGCAGTTCCAAGGTGAGAGTTTATAGCTCTGAGAGTATAAACGTAAAAGAAAATCTGAGCGTCTAGAGAGATGGCTCAGCAGTTGAGAGCACATACTACTCTTGCAGAGAATCTGAGTCTGGTTCCCATCACCTATGTCAGGTAGCTTGCACCACTGGCAACTCCAACTCTAGAGGAATCCTCCTCTGACTTTCTAGGAAGTCTGTACTCATGTATACAAACTATATATACATAACTAAAAATAATAAAAATAAATCTTAAAAACTGTAAGGAATACAAATAAACAATAATTAATAATAACAAGCTGAACTCCAAATTAGTGGATGAAAAGAATGATAAAGATAGACAGAAAATTAATGAAATGGTCATTAAAAGAATAATGCAAAAGCCAGGTGGTGGTGCATGCCTTTAATCCGAGTACTTAGAGGCAGGCAGATCTCTGTGAGTTCAAGGCCAGTCTGGTCTACAAAGTGAGTTCCAGGACAGCCACATCTTTTATACAGAGAAATCCTGTCTCAAAAGCAAGCAAACAAAAAGAATAATACAAAGTATGAATGAAGCAAAGAGTTGTTTCTTTGAAGAGACAGTATCAGTGAAACCTTAGCTAAGCCAACAAATTAATTAAACCAAATTAATTAACAAACCAAATTAATAAAATCAGGCATGGCAAGGGGGCACTATTGGAGACAACACTGAAAATCTAGATGACCATGACAGCACACTTTGAAAAACTATTCCAGAAAATTAGAAAATAGAGACGAAATGAGTAAATTTCTAGACACATGGTGTCCACCAAAATTAAATGAGGAAGCTATACACAATATACTCTATGTGTTATATAACTCTATGTGATATATGTAGCTATAGCAAGTAATAACATCGAGGCACTAAGAAAAGAGTCTCTCGTATGAGTCACTTTTATTGACACTATGACTAAATACCTGCGAAGAAGCAACTTGGTGAGCATTTAGTTTGGGTTATAATTTGGGGGACTACCAAGTTGTTTGGGGTGTATGAGGTGACTATGAAGGCATGCAGTTGGACTCAGAGAGAGATGAACGCTGGTTCTCAACAGGCTTTCTCCTTTTCCCCTTTGTATTCAGTCTGGGCCCCATAAGATGGTGGGATTTCCTCACTTGGTGTTTCAGTTACTGATCTATTGCTGTGAAGAGACCCCATAACCAAGGTAACTTATGGAAGAAAACATTTAATTTGGAGCTTTGCTTATAGATTCAAAGGGTTAGAACATGATCATCAAGGCAGCAGGCAGACAGGCACAACACTGGAGCAGTAGCTGGGAGCTATATATTTCCACCTCCTCTCCTCCTCCCATTTCCCTCCTGGGAGTTATACTCTGATCTGTAGGCCACAGAGGGGTGGGATGGGATGGAGGTAGGAGAGGCAAGAATTGGGCCTCTGGAGAGAAGCCAGTGCTCTTAACCGCTGAACTATCTCTCCAGCTCCAAAACATGTATTTATTCAGAATAAAAAAAAAGAAAACTGCTCAGAGAAGTTTGGAGGAAAGAATATGCCAGCACAGAATACAGCCTGTGAGCACAGAAACTGAGAGGGGCAGGGTGGAGATACGGCTGTAGTTCATGTGTGTGCCCACTAAGGGGAAGCACACACAAACTCAGCTTTTCTCCCACAGCCAGCCTCTGTCCTTCCCTCAGGTAGATCTTCCCTCCACACCCCAAGACTGTGTCACCCACCCATTCCCAAACGTAAGACTTCAGAAAGCCACCCCCTGCTGACACCCTCAGAGAGTTTCTTTGCCACGTGGTCATTTACCCCAGACACTGTTCCCATGTCTTCACTGCTCCCCAACTTTACCCCTCGGCTTGTCCTTTCTCTCCACTCTAGCTGAAGGATCCCACCTGGCCCCCTCTGACACCTCACCGCCATCAGCACCACTTCCATGCCTGCATGTGAGCGCGGGGATGATTGACAGATAAATGGGCTCAGGATGATAGAGGGGGTCCAGCTGGCCCAGCAGATGGTAGTAGGGTCTATTGTGTTGTTACAGTTGAAGGTAGGTGACTCTGACTTCAAATTGGGGTTTTTAGTAGACATGGCATATACAACTAAAATCTACATTTTGTTACATCTTAAAAAACATGAACTTTATAGCCTTAGTTGATTTTATTATTGTTGTTGTTGGCAGTGGTGGCTTATCAAGACAGGGTTTCTCACTGTAGCCCTGGCTGTCCTGGAACTCACTCTGTAGACCAGGCTGGCCTCGATCTCAGAGATCTGCATGCCTCTGCCTCCTGAGTGCTGAATTTATTAATTTAACTCTGTTAAATTAAATTCTGTTTTCTCTCGAGAAACCATCACCACCACTCTGGCAGATGAGTGTTGATAGCTCTTAGTGTCCTCCATTTGCTGAATTTAGAGGTGGAGTGGGGGGGGGGTGAAGGAGTGTCGTGGAGATCGTGGCTTAGGTAACCGTGCGGCTGATGTCACACAGTCTCAGGACTGTTACTGTCAGAGACCGACTAGACCCAGAACCCTACAAGGCACAGGATGAAGATATCTGCAGGGGGTCATCCACTAAGGCCAGCTCACTGACTTCCACTCCTGAGGAAATGAGAATCTTTCCAGGGTTAGGGAAGGAATGTCTCAAAGTGCCTTTGATCTGCCTCAAGTCCCGCTACCTTAATGGCTGAGTAAAGAGGTGACCAGCCTCTTCAGAGGGGCAGTGATACTGGTGTAGGAAGAGGGCCCCAGAAGACAGTTGTGAAGCTTCTCTCTCTTTTTCTGGTCTTGTTTTGTTGAGACATAATCTCTTGCAGCCTAGCCTCACCTTGAACTCACCATGTAGCCAAGAACAACCTAGAACTTCTTGTCCTCCTGAGTGGAGAGATTAAGCCTCCAGAGGGTTGGACTTAACATAGCCACCACTACACTTAGTCTTAGGCCCGTTGGTTCTGGGGCTGGAATCCACTTCGATGTGTGGGGACACTGGGCCACAGCTGCTGAGAATCTGAGACAGGTCTAATGACCAAAGGCTGCAGAGAGGGGTAGGTGGAAGAAGCCAGGGGAGGTAGGAGCTGGGGTGGGAGGAGTGGTCAACCAATTGCTAGAAGCTGGATATACCTGAGGACCCCTCGTGGGGCCCTAAGGCAATGGCCCTGGTCCCCCGGGTCAGTTGGGTAGCTCTAGGAATTACAGGCGGCGTCTATTTCAGAGTTTATGGTAAGAGGCTGGAGCCTGCACACACACACAGACAGCACACCCCACCCTTTAAGGAAGTAGGGAGGAGAGCAGCAGGGGTGTGGTTAACGACCGAGAGGAGGAGGGGGGAAAACAACCTGTCAGCCTCTTACTCAGCCTCGGAGGGCCGAGCCGCGAGTCCTACCTGAGGCGGTCGCACTCACCTGGCCCAGCCCGGAGCCCTGGCCCGAGTCCGCGCCTCACCCGCGGTGAGTCCTGTACTGTCGCTACATAGCGCCGGGGTCGGGGACCCGTCAATCGTTCGACTTAGGTGGAAGGCTGGAGGGGGGCTACAGTTCCGGTCCTTCGGGGAACCTGGACACGGCTGGGAATTCCTGGAAAGGGGGCCAAAGACCCAGAAAGTCGGAGCTGCTGAGCAGGTGCTCACGCTGAGCTTACCGCCCCGAGCTGGGGGAGAAGGGATCTATTTTTGGACTTCTTCTGAGACTAAAGGGTGTTTCCCCCGTTTTGTCCTGTTAGCTTATTCAGACGGGGGAGGCAGGGGCCACGGTTTGAAGAAGGCTTAACGAAACAGCTTGCTTCTAAAGGTTGTGTTTGGGAGCCCCAGATCCAACCCGGGGCTTCAGAATCCAACTTCAGCTCCAGCGCAGCCCTCTGCCCAGGCACTGTGCGTTTTTCTCCCCAGTGCCCTTCGGAACCCTGTGGCCACATTCCCACCCCTATCCCCACCCTCTGGGACGTTTTTTCTGGGTTCTCCAGAGAAACCATGTCAACGTGTGTGTGTGTGTGTGTGTGTGTGTGTGTGTGTGTGTGTGTGCGTGCGTGCGTGCCAAAGTTCCAAAGTTCACACTGGCCGCAAGGGCTCATTTTGAAGCTGCTTTCCCCACGCTACTCAAGGGTTAAGTTCTGGGCTGCTGTTCCTGCTGCCAGGCTGTGCGTGGGCAAAGCTTTGGGTGGGTGAACAGTGAGCATATGGGTGATGTTCTGAGGCCCACCAAGCCCTGCCACCTGCCCTCACCCTCAGCCATATGACTCCAGCATCTCCCATCATCCCCAAACTGGAAGCAAGATTCAACTGGGCTCTTTGAAGGAACCAAGCCTGGACCTGGAGGGTAGGGGGGGGTGGCATTAGCAAGAAGGACTTGAAAGCAAGTGGGAGAAGAACCTTAAGGATCTTGGGCCCTGCTGGAGCCCGCTGAGACAATGTGCATGGCATAGAAAGGGTAGGGGTGCCAGGCAGCCCCTGTGTGCTCAGGTTGACAAGCCCTTGCCTTTCACAACTACTGGGTGAGGGGGCAGCGGTGCAAGAAGGATGCAGAGAAGGAAAAAAAAAGTGACTCACGGCACTTGGGAGGAAGGAAGGAGTCACATTCATGAGAAAGACCTAACTTTGGCAGGACAGTCTGCTTACCTTCACTCACTTACGGGCTTCCCACCCGCATCCAGGTGCCGCTGTCAGGTGAGGGGAGACTTGGAGCAGCCAGTCATGGCTCCAGTTGGCTAGGACGGAGGCAGGAGAGGCGGGGCTGCCGTGGGAAGAGGCAGAGTTCCACCAATACAGAGCCAGAGGGTGGGCAAGGCTGGTCAGGAACAGATCTTGAATCTTTTGGGCAGACACCACTGTGAGAACTGAAGATCATTAGGGATTAACTAAGCAAGGGGCAGAAAGGAAGTCAGAGCCCGAGAAGTACAAACCGAAGGCTAAGGGCAGCAAGAGACAACGGAAAACTGAAAGCAGCCAAGTAGCTGAGCGTGTTGGGAGCCTAGAGTGCAAGGGGGAGGGGGAACTGCAGCCGTAAGTAGAGGATGCTCTCCCCCTCCCACAAGGCCTGGGAAGGCGTGCTCAGGCTGCCATGGCAACTCCTCTGGGAGCAAAGCTTGGAACCTGGAGCTGCTTGAAACTTCCCAGCGTACTTCCCCTCCGAGACGGAGGTGCCGGATTTAGCAAACGAAAACAAGGGGCATTCAAATTTGAATTTTAAATGAGCAAATTTGTTGAAGATTTTGTTCTCGGTGTTAAGTACGTTTCATACAGTATTTGGGAGATACCTAACACTCAGACATTACTCACAGTTTATCTCAAACTTAATTGGACGTCCTGAGTCTGTCTGGGAAGTGGAGGTTGGTGCTCTACCGAGCAGTCTAGACTGAGAGCTAACTCAGTGCCCTGAGAAAAGGCTCAGGGCATGTTTCTTTTGTGACAAATCATGATAGACCCAGTTGGAGGCTCCTTCCGTGATTGGTCATGATATTACTATTGAGAAAAGAAAATCAGCATTTTGCTCCATGTATTGATCTGCAGAGCTGAATGTGTGTGTGTGTGTGTGTGTGTGTGTGTGTGTGTGTGTATAAACTGAAAGCAATAGGTTACTTGGCAGTACCTTGGTAAGAAATTGGACCAATGGTTGCAGGAAGACCTGGGTCAAGCTGCTGGATTCTCCCTGTCTCACAGCCTGTTTGTCTAGGTGTTAGGGTAGGATCCTTGATACAATGTGGAAATCTGCACTCCAGTGCTATGCAAAAGTACTACATATTAATTTTAAATGACATATTCACAGACAGTGACTGAAAGAACACCCACAAACTGCTTGGGGTGCGTCTATTTCTGTTTGAGTTTATAGAATGCCTAGAGGTCTCAGGGAAAATGTGTGGTAGGGTTGGTTCCTGCTTCTAGTGGAAAAAGTTAGCCTCTGGACAGGGGCGGAGATGAGGAGTGGAGGGTGGACACAAAGTTATTTCCTCGGGGTTCCTCACCCATCCACTAGCCCATTTCAGAGGCAGAGGAGACCAATAGCACTCCTTCTGGAGACTGGCAGGTGGGAAGAGAGGAGTTGTTCAAGAGAAATCTGAATGGATGAAAGGAGGAGATGCGAGAAACACCCAGCGCAGCCCCACACCCACAAACGCACCATAAAATCAGATCTTCGTTATTCTTCAGTTTATAATAGGTTCCTTATTAGAAAGCTCAAGCTGGGGCTAGAAGAAGGAAGGGCGCCCTGTGAAATGGGTCCCGACTTTAATGAGAATATTCCTAAGGTGTTAGAGACCTCCTAAAAGGAAAGTTGGGAGGACTTGAGAATTTGGAGAGAGAGAGAGAGNGAGAGAGAGAGAGAGAGAGAGAGAGAGAGAGAGAGAGAGAGAGAGAGAGAGAGAATGGGAAGTATGTTTCCCTTGTGGACTGCTCAGTTATAAATGGTCCTCCTCTCCAGTGGTGAATCTCTCTGTCCCCAGTCCAGCCCACTTTGTCCCCAGTCAGTCCCTTAGTGTGCCACTTGAGACAGAGATAATCAGAGATATTCTGTGGTATGCTGTGCACATTTGCAGGACAAGGCTGTGGTAAGTCCTGCAGAAAAGGCAAGCATGGCTCTGGCTTAACTTAGCATTCCCTGAATGTGGCTATTCAAGCTGTTCAGGTTTTCAAGGGAAATTAGCATTTCACACACAGAGAAGGTGGATGCTGATATGGGGTGCAGACCACACAGATCTACCAGAGGTCATTGTCCCCCCCTGTAATTCTAACGAGGATGGATATAATTCATCCTATAGTTGATGAGTTCAACTCAGAGGTGTTCAGGAAATGAGCTCTTGTGTGCAACATCCCAGCCTCACCGTTCTCCAGGGATCGAAATCTCCCTTAGGAGCTGCCTAGCCTTTCCCCTCACAGACCTTGGCGAGAAGTTTGGCGCTTTGCCCCATGCAGAGGTGACAATAGTTCCAGATGGCCAAACACTGCTAGGGCAAGCACAGCTGCTAGAGAGGAGAGGGAAAGGGGCAGAGGCTCCTCTGGGGTGGACCCTGTTTAGTCGGGCCCTCAGTTTTCTCTAGTTTTCTCAGGGCCCAGGATCTACTAATCTCAGAATACCTGACCGACCTCCCAGGGGAATGGGAGCTTAAAGCAGTTAGCCAAGAGGCAGTGAGACCAGAGAGGGCACAGCTGAGATGGTTTGGGAGCTCAAGCAAGGTTTAAAAAAATATAGTCATGTGATTTGCATATATTTCATGCCAGTCCCAAGGCAAGGGAAGAAGAGCAAGGCCCTGGTAACCCTAACAGGCAACTTCTATGCAAGCAGTTGATTGGTCAGGAGTTCAGACTTATGACTCTAACTGGACCTTCTTTGGGACCTCGGGAAAGTCATTCTGCTGCGGCTTCCTATCTGTAAGGTGGAGGTGGTAGCAGGCTTTTTGAGGGTGAGGTGAGGGGCTCTATGTTAGCCAGGACACAGCTAAAATAGAAATGGCAGTGGCTATCACCCATAGCAGGGTAGGAGAGCCCCGACTCCCACCTCTGTGCTGGGTGGCCCTGTGATTGCCAGAGCGCTAGTAGTCTGGTGGAGGAGTCAGGCCTTCAGAGCACTGGGGATATAGACATGTACCCAGAAGTATGGGCTGTTGTTTCAATATTAGCACCCTATGGGGGTATGCTCATGTACCAACTTAATAACCTCTGTTGTGCATAAAACACAATAGACACTGTAGATACTCAGAATTGCAAACTCTCTCATGTCTTGATATGTATGAGCTGCCCCGAACCTATGGGGCAGCACTGGTTTTTATTAGTTTGCTTGACTGTGTAGTATACATGTTTGCAGCCAGGGGCAGGGGGCAGGGGTGCTGTGCAAACACAGATGTGTCCATGGTTTAGGCCAGAGGTCAGACTCAGGCATCCTTCCCCTGGATGCCATCTTGATTTTTCCAGAGGGGTCTGTCTTCATTTCTTTTCCTATTGCTCTGAACCAATACTCTGACAAAAGCAGCTTAGAGGAGAAAGTCCAGTCAGCATGCAGGGTGATCAAGGCAGCAGGAGCTTGAAGCAGTTGGCCTCATTAGATCCTCAATCCACAAATGGTGCCACCCACAGCGGGTGTGTCTTCATGCCTCAGTTAATGCAACCAATCACCACACTCCTCCACAGGTGATCCCAGAGTCTGGATTCTGTCAAGCTGACAATGAACACTAGCTACCACAGGGTCTCACCCTTAGCTTGCTGATTCTGCTTGGTCAATGGCTGGCCAGCAAGCCCCAGGGATATGCCTGCTTAAGTCTCCCCAGAAGGAGCACTTTCTCAGCTGAGCCATCTCTCCTGCCTGCTTTTATTTTGTTTAAGGTTTTGGGGAGAGCTACGCAGCCCAGCTTGGCTTCAAACCTTGCTCTCCCACCCCCAACCTTCCCAGTGCTGAGATCTCAGGAATGTACTGCCATGCCCAGAAATTTCTTTCTTTCTTTATTTTTTTTTTATTTCTGGTGTTGGGGAGGGAACTCGGGGTCTCACAAACGGCAGGCAGCCACTCTCTACCAGAGTTGCACCTCAGCTTCTCTGTTTTTTTCCTGTTCCTGAGGTCACAAACCGTCTTCTGACACAGAAGAACATTGCACTGAGTGCCAACTCAGAGGTGCCAGAGGCAAAAACTCAATAGTTCTTACTGTAGCTACTCCACTGCCAATCCAGCGTGCTCTGAGTACAGCCAGGCTGAATTAGCTCTCGGGCCAGGAAAGATGATGTCCTCTTATACCATCAGGCACTGGAGCCCGAAGGCCCATTTAATAGGGCAGGCAAGCAGCACACGGTGGCTATTCTTTCTAGGCCTTTCCATTTAGCTGCAAAACTCTTGAGCTGTGAGGTGGTGGTGGGGGGGGGGGCAGTCTTTTGAGTCACTCTGCTGTGTCTCAAGGTATAATTATTACTCACGACGACAGTTTGATGAAGAGAGCAGACTCCAGGATGCACATTTTGATGTGTGTCTACCTAGATGCAATGGGCAGACTGATACAGCGTGGAGCTTGTTTTTGAGACACAGATCCTTCAGATAGACTTCGGAGGTCTTTTACCTGGTGGGCACCGCTCTGCGCTCTGGGTCTCTCCAGGTTTTCCTTTTGCCCCAGTGTTAATGAGGCCAGGACTCTTACAAGTTCTCTATCAAAGTGATTAAGGCCAAGAGAACCAGCGCCAAGCCCCAGGAAGGCCCGGTACCTCCGTAGCTTACTTGATGTTTTCTCCCTCCCCACTCCCAACGTCTTAGCTACAGTTCACTAACACCCCCCCCACACACACACACATACACACACACACATTTGCCCTCTCTTTCCTTTTGTGCTCTAAAATCCACCCACAGAAAATCTGAGAAGACCACTAGGGAAAGACAGGGAGCCCACAGGAAACCACCCAGTCCAGACTGAAGCATGGGTGGGCTTAACTCTTGTCTCAGAAAGCAGTCAAAGTGGTTCGCTTCTCCCACGAAAGCTGAAGGTAGCCTTCCCTTTGCCTGTATGTCTGAGATTACACACACACATCCTACACCCCCTTCCCCCAAACCCCCGGCCTCCCGGCCTAGTGGGTCTGTTTCTTGTACCCATGATGCTCAGCGGTTCCTTTCAGGGCAGCTGGGAGTTTGAATCTGACCCCTCCCCCATTTTCCTTTCTGCCGCTGAGGTCCTGGCGACTCGAAGCGGGCACACTGTGTCCTGATTTTTAAGGTAGCTTTGCCCTCTTTCCACCTGCTCCAGCACCCAAGACTCTTTGTTCCTCAGCGGCAGCCTGAGGTGAGGGCACATTCCCAGTCAGCCTTCTCAGGTCACCTCCACACCTTCCTACTCAGGGAGTTGTCCCTCCAGGCAGGCTCCCAGCATCGGTGACAACATCTGGCTCAGGCCTTTCTACTCATGGCACAGGTGCTGGCTGGCTTCTGACTTTCAGAGTC